TTCTTTCTTTCTTTCTTTCTTTCTTTCTTTCTTTCTTTCTTTCTTTCCTTTTCTTTCTTTCTTTCTTGTTTTCTTTCTAGAAAAAAAGCAAAATCACTCAGGCTTCTCCTTTGTTGTTGTTTTAAATCTACTATTAGGAAATACAACACATAAATAAAAAGGGAAATAAAGTAGCACAAAACGAGCTACTGAAAACGTAAAACCAAATGGCGCGAGAAAGGCGTCGGCGTTAGTGCAAAAGTAAACACAGAACATCACGATCCCCAGTTCCGGGAGGGATCAACATTCAAAATGCTTCGAGACAGGCTGAAACAGATGTTGGGGGGGGGGGGGGGGTGACTCTGTAAACCGCTTAGCCTTCGAGAGTGGCTGTAAAGCGCTGTGAAGTGGCATACAAGTCTAAGTGCTATTGCTAATATGCCACAGACAGCTGTTCTACGACTCTTAACAGCTAAAAAGAGACGACGCCGAGATGCCTGCAAAAGGTTTTGCAGCAAAAGTCAAAACCAATCCAGGTTTCCTTTTCCACGCAAAGCCTGAATCTGCCCTGGTTCCCTTCCAAACAGGTTCGGGTACCTTTCGCACATCAGCGCTAGACACCAGGTGCTGCTGCGGCAACGTGGGCTGCCTTGGAACGGGCGATTCGACATTGCGTCATTAACGTGCGCCGGTCGTTTCCACGGCGCCGGGGCGAAGAGAAGGAAGCAGTTGCCGGAGACATGAGTGGGCTCGCTTTGCTTTTGCGAGCGGCGCGAACGGCGCTCCCACCCGGGGCCAGGCTGTTTCGCACCGGCTGCCCTCGGCCCGCTTTTGTTAAGGAGCTTTTCATGGGGAACTTCCAAGAGGTGAGGCCGCCGAAAGCTTCGTTTCCCTGGGCTGGGGGACTTTGGGATTCAAGGGAAGACCCAGGTTTCCAGCATCCGTTCAGGAATCCGTTGGCGAAGCAGGGATCTGCTTTTTCACTGCGGGTGGTGGTTCTCAAGTTAGATGTCTATGGAGATTCTCGGTCATCCAGGACATGGTTGTCCCAAAGGTGCTTTTTTTCAAGAGGCAACTAGACTTTCTGGTTTTTCTTTGAAGACGTTTCACTTCTCATAGTCTTCCAATATTTGAGGGGCTGCCACAGAGTGGAAGGTGTCAATCTATTTACTAAAGCGCAGATAAGGAATAATGGATAGAAACTGAACAAGGAGAGATTTAACCTGGAAATAAGGACAAATTTTCTGTCAGTGAGAACAATTAACCAATGGAACAGCTTGCCCTCGGAAGTTATGGGAGCGCCATCACTTGAGACCTTCAAGAAGAGATTGGACTGCCATTTGTCAGAAATGGTGTAGGGTCTCCCGCTTGGGTGAGGGGTTGGACTAGATGACCTACAAGGTCCCTTCCAACTCTGATTATCTGTTATCATCCAAGAAGCTTCTTCAGCTCTGACTGGATGGTGGGGAAGCTTCTTGGATGAGAAGCGAAACTTCTTCAAAGAAAAACGTCCAGTTGCCTCTTGAAAAAACACCTTTGGGATTCTCAAGTTAGAAAAAAAAAGCCTTTTGTGTTTCATCTCAGTTCGGATCTCAAACTGTCTACCTTTTAGGCTGGAGCTAGGTACACAGGTAGTCCTCGATTTACAACAGTTCACTTCGTGACCATTCAAAGTTAATGATGGTTAAAGCATCCCCATGGTCATGTGGTTTACATTTGGATGTTTGGCTGTCTCACACTTACGACGGTTGCAGTGGGGTCTTGCGATCAGCTTTTGCAACCTGGCAAGCAAAATCAATGAGGAAACCAACTTGTAGATGTTGGAGATGGTAGAAACTTGAAATGAATAAGCTGAAACTACATTTGGGAAGGGAGGTTTTTTATTAGAACTAGGCCGCAGTAGCGGTGGTGAGCGTGCACGCGTGTAGCTCCACTTGTACAAGCAGTTGGTGGACGTGTGTGTGAAACTATATGAGCAGAAGGTGCACACAGATGTCCCTTGCACAAATGAAACTACATGTGTGCACATGCACTAGCCACCACTCACATGGAACCATTCTCTCCCCCCCCCCCCGGTCCACCAAAGGTTGGGGATCAGTCAAACTAAAGACCTCCCAAGCTCTATACAAGGCCTTCCATAGCTCTCATAGATTCAGAGTTTTTATACAAATTGGAAACAATTGTTTACAGTCCAAGCAATCTTATTACAGTTATGAGTTATGAGTAATGTAAAATTGCTGGAAAGTTGGTAAAAAAATAATAATAACAGATATTATTTGGTCAATATTTGATCAAAAAAATGATAAAAAAGTCCAGATTCTATTTTGATAATGGGAGGTCTGTGAATCTACCCTGTTTCTCCAACAATACGGCCTCCCCCAATAGGAAGTCCCAGCATGTTTTATAGGCATGAAATGAAATTAAGCCCCTCTCCCCAAATTAAGGCCTATATTAAAACATGCGAAATGGGGGGAAATGGTGGGGGGGCTTGCCGTTAGGAAGTACTTTTGTGGCACACCCGGATATGGTGCTGCCTGCGTTGACCCCGATACGAAGTGCCCCACCAACGCCGAGGTCAACATCCAAGCTGTTGCCACCCACCCACCCAAAGATGCAAGGGGGGGAATTAAGTCACCCCCGAAAAGACGGCCTAGCCATTTTTTCGGGGCTCAAAAAAAAATAAGACCCGGCCTTATTATATGAGAAACACGGTAGGTTTACACAATTGACAGTTCAGTTATATGAACCTGAACTCACATCTTTCACTGTGTGTATATTTTTTGCTGAATACATCAGCGCACGTTTGCCATTCGTTTGGTGATAAAGTATGGACTTATATTCTAGTTTGGAAGATGGAAGTGAATTGGAAAAATAATGGGCTGTAGATTATGGAGCAAGTGTCAATTTTGCCACAGAGCAGCAGCGTTTATTATGAAATCTGGACACCCAGGCTTTAGCAATATTCTCAGACCTGCTACTCCAACATCCTTTAACATTCAGCAGCCAATCCCTAAGAAAATATTCTACCTGATGGATAAGAACATTTCAATTTGTATTATCCAGATAAAAGGATATCAAGGACCCCTATGTTTACTCCTGTTTTTAGGGTGTAAACTCCCCAGAGTTGTGTACCCCCTCAATGAATGTTTAAAATTTTTAATTGTCCTACTTTCTATGAATGACATGAATAAATCTGAAGGAATCCTAGTGCACAAATTAACTTTCTTATGACGGGGCTTTGGTGCTCTCTGAGCTTGATTATTTTCTTGCAGACATTTATTTCATTGCACAAACTAGGTAATATCATCAGTGCTAATAGGGAGTAGGGTTTGCTGTCAGTTGCATAGCATAGCATATAGTTCTTTATGTCTATGTGTCTATTGATGGTCAATTTGTCAGAGTGGTAGGCTTCTAAAAATTGCCTAGCATTTTTGGACTTGGCTTAGTCTAGGATAGTCACAGTTTCCCGATTGAAACTATGGTTAAATCAGTTCATATGTAGTTAAATTAAAAAGTTTTCATTGTGTCATCTGTCTGCTAAGTTAGTGTTCCTGGATGCGTCCTGCCAGTCTTCTGCTTGTTTGTTCTGAGTAGTGGCTGTTGCAGTCATTGCACTATAGGTGTAAATGACTCCTGTTTTTTCTCCTGGGGCTGCTGGGACTTTTAGTTTACTTAGGATGTTTTGAAGGACTTTAGTTGGCTTGTAATTTTGTAGGTGGCTACAAATATTATCCTTTGTTGGTAACATTTTTATGAGTTAGCTATTACTACTGTAGAGAACTGGGCTCCTGGAGGGAAATTAAGGGTCAAAACATTAATGTATTGTCAAACTATTTTCTAAAAATTGGTGCTCTCAATTTTTGAAGAACTTTAGAAATATGGTGTTTGAATTGTTATAAAAAAAAGACAATTACATATTTCTGGAAGGATATTTCTATACCAAAATCTAAATATAAGCTTAGTGAACTTGGTAAACTCTAAGCATATTTTCTTGGAATGGTACAAAATGTTTGCCAATGTTTCCTTCAATTTTTTGCCTTCCTAGTCTAATATGGTATAAAATCCTGGTGTTCCCCTGCAATCTTCTATTCAGATACTAAGCAAAGCTGACTCTGCTTAATTTTCAAGCCCAGACAAAATCACTTCTTGAGGCAAAGATCTACAAAGTACTTTTAAATATTGCTCAGTCTTTCTGTTTCATATCTTATCACATTAGTAAGGAAAGGGTGGCCAGCTCGGTCTCAGCAATTATGTAGCCTTTCAAAAAGATTTTAGAAACACCAGACACCAATAAGAATCATCACTGTATTCAGATCTCAGTAGTTATAACTGAGGACTATACCTTCTGAAGGAAAGAATAGATCAGTTCTGTTCCATCTTGCTTGTAGCTTTCAAGGTTTGTTTCAATAAGGCTTTTGTCCTAGATTTGGCACTAAAACAATCTTGGTCACTCTGTTGGATGACCCTCACTGGGAAAAGAATATTGAATGTATATATTTGTTAATTCTTTTGAAACTTTCAGAAACTTTTCATACTGACAGTAGAATCATTGTGTGGAGAATTGAGTTCTGTGTGGGTGCTCCCGATTTTCCATGGTTTTACCATTCCTTGAATCCCATCTCCAGAAATTGGTGCTGGTTGTGAGGAATGGGGTGGCATTTAAACATAATATAGTAACTATATTATGGGGTTCTGACTTATCACCCAAATTATTAATCGTCTGTATAGATCCGGTAAATAAAATCTTTCAGGGGCATAGGGTTCATCTGCATGTTTCATTTCCATGACAGAAAAGCAATGCCATTTCCTAAGCTTTATAGGATATTTCCTGGCATTATAATCACTGGCAAAGTCTTTCTGACACTTACCTAGTTTTGGATATTTGGGAGCAGAGGTGAAATTAACAGGAGTTCTGCTACTTTCTCCTTCTAGCCCAAGCAGAATAGTAAAACTATAGAATAGTAAAACTGTGTACAAATCTTTTGTAATACGGGTATATCTCTATCCAAAGATAGGCCAGCTTGTGCGTGGTAGACTGCAGCACTCCTGGGAGCTTTAATCCAGCTTCCTCTCCCATCAAACTGTCAAGTGGGCTATTTGGGAATAGAGGTTATTCAGTCTTACAGAAAGCCAGTCGACTGGCAGGTTGGTCTTCTGTTGTTTGTGTCAGGAGACTAATAGACCTGTGTGAGGAGTTACCAGAGTTGAGCACCTCTGCACCAACAACCTGTCACTTGACCAGTTTGAAAGCAGGCTGAAGCTTCCATCTCAGGCACCCATTTACACAAGTTGAGCCATTCACATTTGCCCAAGCCTTCTCCAACAAATTGATTTTCTGCACAAAAGCTGGCACAAAAGAAGATATTTCACACCCAGCCTCTCTTCACCATGCCCACAGCGGCAGACTTCTGCTTCATTGCTGTGCCAGAGTAGGGGTTCAGAGTAAAGTCAACATTTCTTTAACCTGATATACTTTAAATCTGACCCCACATGGGGCTAAAGAAGCTTAGGGCTGCCGTGAGGAATATGCCATAGAATCCCATGCCATCAGCTGACTTGCAGAAAACCGAACTCAATCACTTGCCCATTTCTTTGAATACCATAAACAACTTTTTTTTACAAAAAAAAATCATTAAAATCTGTCATTTCAGAAGGAAGTTTTTCCTTATCCTGAAATTAGTAATGAAGAATTGCAAGAAATCAATGACTTCGTAGCACCAGTGGAAAAATTCTTCCAGGAAGAAGGTACACTTACCCTCCTCAGGGCTTTTTAAAATCTTTTTCTTCATGCCAAAAATAAAATTAAAATATGATGCTAACAAGGAAATGTTCAAGGTTGCTTCTCTGTATTTTTAAGCAAAAAGTGAAAAAATAGTAAGAATTATACTAAGTTTTATTAATGCTATGCTGGAATCTGCATTTCTACTTTTTCAAAAAGTTATCTTTTTTTCCTCCTTTATTCTCTGGGGGTTTAAAAATTATTTCAAATGTTTTCTGATGACATTTTGGGACTTATTTTTTTTTTATTTTTGAGGTTTATTTCTACCTAAGAAAAAAGTTCCTTTATGTTCTCCTAAATTTAGCTGGACTGTGGAAGCCAGAATGGTTGTGAGCAGCTGGAGAAATAACGCTAAAACAAAAGAAAGGATATTCACATAAATCAGGGGTGGGCAATTAATTTCCCCAAAGACCCATGTAAGAAACTGGGACTATTGTGGAGAGCCAAACCAATAAGCTGAGTTTAATTCTGCTCAATGTTGTTATCACTTTATAAAAAGTAGTAAATTATGTGGCTTTCGTTATCTGCTACCTGTAAGAATACATATTACATCTTATTTACATTTGATTTCTAATTTCCAATTAACCTCATGTGATCCAAACAGAGATAGCCAAAGGGACAGCTGTGGCCCAGGGGCCATATAATATACAGGCCTGACATAAATCCTTTGCTAACTTCATAAGTAAATAAGTATAAGTCACTAGAATAGAATAAACAAGCTTACTTCTGTTGTGTGATTGTTTGCTAAAATAATCTTAAATGTTGAGTTATCTAATTATCGATCAGTTACTATAGTTTTCTCATGTTCATTAGTGGATTCTAAGAAAATTGATCAAGATGCTAAAATTCCACAAGAAACTCTTAATGGGCTGAAGAGCCTGGGCCTTTTTGGCATACAGATACCAGAGGAATATGGTGAGTGAAAATGAATGTTTTTTTCCTCTTTTGAAAGCAATAAATACATTGATCATTTACACATTTACTTACACATATTTGCATAGTTTTTATTTTTTTAATTTTAGTTTCCTCCTGTATGTATTTTTAATTATTTACTTCCAAGACTTGGGAATTGAAACTCATCTTGTTTCCTTTTAGATTTAAAATTTCTATCTGTGTTTGAGTTGATATAGTAGTGATGTTTCTCTGTAGTAGTCTGGGGCTAGTAAAATTGAAATTTTCACTTATAGTTATTATTACTAATAGCATTGTTCAAAAGAGCATGATTCTTTCAGGAAACCGCTTAATACATTTTTACATAAATTAGCATATGCAATCATAAGATGTTCCACATCCTTCCATCTCTTGCCTAGACAGACTTACAAATGATTGATGGATACAGTAATCCTATTTCATAGCTGGTAATGAAAGCACGATTATAGAATAAAGCTCTGGAGTCTTCATGGCAGATGTGTGAAAAACAAAAACCTATGTAGAATTGTTTTATATTGGTGAAACAAAATGAAAACAGATTTAAAATAATATTTTATGGAAAACAAGTCTTGACAGAAAGTTGGCTATATTTCTGTTTAGGTGCTTAAGAAATAAGATTGAGCTTTGTGTAAGATACAGTTGCAGAACAGTGCTTTGGAGTTTGTTGGGACATGAAGACTAGAACTTTTCTGCAAATTTTTCAAATAAGTACCATATATACTTGCATATAAGGCCACCTATGGATAAACCGATCTTCAAATTTTTAACCAAAATACCATAAAAATATGCCACCTGTGGACAACCCAATTTTTTAAAATTTCTACCATTGGCTTACTTGTAGGTAATCAATAGATTATCCATGAGACAGAGACAGACAGAAATACAGACAGAAGGGTACTTTAAAAGAATATTGCAGTATACACTCATGAGTTAGCCTATCTGGAGATAAGCCAAGCACAATTATGTGTGTATATGTGGTAGGGAAGGGTTGTAACTAAAATGTTTGCTTATTCACAAGTATATATGATATATATATTTTTCCTGTCAATTGTCAGCATTCCAACTAATCTCAAGAAAAGATTTAAAGAGCTGCAGACAGGTGCAGACACCAAAGGTATACCTGCAACTGAAACACTGTATAGAAGGCAATCCCAAACAGGCTCAATGCTTTTTTTCTTTACTTTTATAAACACAGGGTATTTTATAAGAAAAAATATCTCAATTGATTTAAAAGATTTTTAAAAATCACAAAGCAATTTTATTTAATTTTTGTGTTGTAGACAAATTTCTTTTGTTTGACCACATTTTTTTCAGGTGGCCTTGGTCTTTCAAATACAATGTATGCCCGTCTAGGAGAAATAACTTCTCAAGATGCATCCATTGCCGTAACTTTGGCAGCTCATCAGGCTATAGGGCTAAAGGTAGTTTTTTCCTTTATTAATGTATTGATTTTTGTTTATCTAATGTTGTAAGAGTCAATGTTTCAAATCTGGAGAAGATAAAAGGTAATATACATATATGTTACATACACTATACACACACAGAGAAACAAAGACAGACAGACGCATATATATTCCATTTTTAAAAATATTGAGAAGAATTTGTGTAAATAATTACTAGGCCAAAACAAAAGCAGCATGGACATAATTCAATTTAGCTTTTAGCTTCATTTAACTTTTGAGAAGTTTTAAATTTTAGTATGTACTAACATACTAAATTTTAAAACTTCTCAAAAGTTTTCTGAAGAATTTATGTTAGTTCTTCATACAGTTGCTTTCATTACCTGACTAAAA